ATCACACTCTCGTCTGATCATTTCCTTAGCAACTGAGCATATAGAAATGCCTTCTATCTCCACCCACACTCCTTCTCGCTTCCCTCGGTTCACAAAAACAAGTCGATGGTCTTGGTATTTTTCTGTTACATCCAGCTTCATACCATGCAGTATGAAGCTGCATTGACAAAAACCCATGCCTACATACTATACCCATTTTCTCAAACAGCCCTACACGTACAGAATTGAACGTCATGTTTCAACATAATGGATGTGTTCACCTAAATTAGAAAAAACAATGTATATTAGCACCGATTAAATAAAGGAAAATTGAGCAACGTCATTTGATCAATTGGTCCACTGAATTCTCGATTCAACGCTGTGCATGTGAACGAAGGATTCACTTATCTTTGATCGCGATTATCACTCATTGAATTCGGGATATCACATACAAATTAAAAATAGATTAAATTTTTATTGTTCAAAAATAACTCGCAATTAAGTTTACCTCAATATTTCTCCATGCCTCTATTTTGTCCTTTTATTGGAAGAACAAATCTTCACACATCTTCTATCTGAAACTCTTTATACTCATGATCATGAACAGGATGACATTATTCTCTTTCTGTACCTCATAAACACATGTCTTCGATGTCTGTCTACAAGCTCTGATGTGCATCCACTCTCCAAAACACAATGCGACCTTCGTCCATTCTTGCGCACTCGATTCGTTCCTTCATAGTTTTATCTTGCGTTTGTATGCCTTTGCTTCTCACATAGCACTCTCGTATACGGAGATAAAAATTCTGTCAATGTGTCCGTTCTACGGGTAATTTGTCAAAAAAAACTGTTCTCACTCTCTGATTGATGTAGTACGCAATAAACCAGCCAATGATCATCAGCATAATAGCGCTGGAATCCATGCACTCTCCGAATGTTATACAGTTCCACACAACCATTCATTACTTTCAAGCTTATATTCTTTCATAACATCTTCCAACGTACTTCAAACGTTGCTGGATCTATATCTACACCCCAAATCATGTATTGATCTTTCTCTTGAAATCATCCATCTTCGAAATGCATTTTGCCAACTACAATATAAATATATAACGAAAGATTCAGTATTTATCTAATGAGGATTCATTATATTTGAATGCCCATGATTCCATTACCTTTTGGTAATTTTCTTCATTAGTGCCACATGCACAAGCGGTGACGTGGCTTCTGTAAAGACAGTTGGTATAGCTTGCTTCAGGGCAGGGCACTGATCTGTAACAATACACTTTGGGCTCGCGAATCATGCATTTCAAGAATACCTCAAAAATCCATACATAGTTATCAATGTCCTCTTTAGCTATCAATCCAGCTGCAAATACAACACACTTCTTTATAATTGTCGAGACCAGCTAAATGGAACAAACTTCATGTTGTACCCTATTGTACCACATACAAAAAATATAAGATCACTATGATAATATAATTACAATATTGAAAATAGTAAGAGATTAACTATAAATCTTACTTGTTTTGGAATATCGTAGTAGTCAAATGATATCACATCTCCAAAACATCGTAATTCTTCGACCATAACATCTGCCCAAAAAATGCGAGTTAATCGACCACCTCATCGACTGCATAATCATAGAAAAATCCATCACTCATCTCCTTCTTAGCCGTGAACTTCTCGATGATCATTTGAGCATCTCGATCACAATATAAAGCTTCACATCCCTACTCCAATTTTAAACTCGGTACAAGTAGCACCAACATTAGAATAACTTCCACACAACTCTTTAGCAAAGTTATATGTTTTGTTAGGCCCCATGCTTGGCTTTTGCTCCATCAAATACAAGTTTCTTATGTGCTGAGACCGAGAACTCTATTTGACTCAAAAATTGTTTCCCACTACCGGAGACCAAGAATGAGAATGCTCTTCAACAAATGAGAGAACATTATATCCTTTCAAACCATCAAACTTAAATACACCTTAGCTTTGCAACCACACTCTACTAGATTACAGTTCTTCCTTCTCTTTTCAAAATGCTACTAGACTCATCAATATCAACATCCATCTTTGATTCATTGCTGCCAGCCTCTACTGCAAAACAATGTGTTTAAGAAGAACTGTACCGTCCTCACTGTTCTTCTCTCCGATGCCGTCTGATCTCAACCCACTTTTACGTCCATACTCTCCGGTAAAACTCTATACCTCCTCTAGTGAGCGAAAGCTTTGGTTTAGATTAGGTTTAACTTCAGCTTCAACCGCAGGTTTCCAATACATACCACCACCTGTGTGATTCAAAAGGAATAGAGCTAACTTCGTCCATCCATCTTCTCCAAAATCACTGTCCGATGCATTTATAACATGTGGTATGTAAATTGTTCATTGCTGCCTACAACTGAAAATAAAACAGCCATCAATCATCATTGTGTTGATATACTGAATCTGGATTTACCGCATCCATTTAGATCAAATGAAAACATATTCCACAAATATAAAAATTACTTGACTTATTCTAACAAGATCAAAGAAAATGGAAAAAATTTAAAACCCTCACTTTCCTAACTGAATCGAGTAGATTCACCCAGTGAATCGCTATTTACATAACTGGATCGAGACGATTCACCCAGTGAATCGCTATTTACAAAATGAATCGAGTCGAATCAACGAGTGAATCGCGATTCACTCAACTGAATCGCGTAGATCACCCAGTGATCTCGATCCACTCGACTGAATCGTGATTCACTCAACTGAATCGTGTATATTCATCCAGTGAATATCGATCACTCAACTGAATCGCGATTTACAAAACTGAATCGAGACGATTTATCCAGTGAATCGCGATTCACTAAACTGAATAGAGTAGATTCACCCAGTTTATCTCGATCCACTCAACTGAATCGAGATAAACTCAACTAGAGTGCATATTGCATAATCCAGACCACCAATATTTACCACTATCCATTTAGAACAAATGAAAAATCTCGATTCAATGCATCAAATTCTCCATTTAAAACTCCATAAAATGTTTAAGAATGTAAGCTACAAGATAATAAGTCATATGGCTAAGTTTTTAAATACTGAATCTAGTTCCATAAGATGAAAAAAACTTAGACTGCACGCTATCATTTCCAATCTCCATAAAATGTTGAGCAATGTCCAGCTGCTGGACTTCGAACAAGAGAGCTGAAGAACGATGAATGAGAGCTACTGGACGTTTTCTCGATGAACGAGAGCTGGAAGAACGATGAACGATGAACGAGAGCTGCTGGACGATTTCTGAACGAGAGCTGAAGATCTGAAGGACGATGAACGAGATAGCTGCTGGAAAACTTCACGATTGAAAGCTGCTGACGCATGAACGAGAGCTGATATTCGTGACTGTTGGGTTGCCTGAGTCGTAAGATTGCATGCATGGGGAAATGGAGAACTCAACAGAAGCATTAATTACCTCTCTTTGGGTGCTGTTTATTTTACCAGATTACCCTCACGCAGGTTTAATCTCAGCCATTGGATGAATCTAGATCCAATGGAGAGGAGAAGTTTTTAGTTTTTAGGATAGCGAGGTTTGTTATTTGAACCTCTCCCTATTATATATATATATATATATATATATATATATATTTGGGTGGGGGGTTTTCTGCAATTTACCCAATATTCAATTCCATAAGAGCGCTACACGTATTCCCACGAACTGCACGTATTCCCAGCATGCCGCCCCCTCGTCTTCCGTACTACGCAGATGCGCAATGACCCTGCAAAGGCAGCGACAGAGCTAATAATAAAGTTCCATCATACAAGTTTAAGATACACTCCCTCACTCAAGATTTGAACATCATCAGCAGTTATCCTTGTTGCCGTTAATCTCTCTGTGATGAAGCAGAGAAAGCAATGGCAGTGGCCGCAATCAAGATTAAGATACAGTCCCTCACTCAAGATTAAGATGCACTTGAAGAAGCAGGAGACGGAGCTCGTGAGAAAAATGTTCTCGTGGTCGCTCGAAGATGTCTTTAATGAACATCTCTTTAAGGAGAAGGTTAGTACCTTCTATCAGATTCAAACCTGTTATTAAACTCATCTCTTTGTCAAGGATTGCAGAGGTTACAATGACAAAAGAAATAATGAGTATAGTTTATATGATTGCTCTACCCAAAATGTCTGATTGTAGCTAATGTCGGTAGTTAGTTAACAATAAAAATGTTCAATCCCCTCTGGTCTAATATAAGAATCATGCATTGGATACTCTTCCTTAATTGATGGAATGTCCAAAGTTATTATTATCCTCGAGAATCGCTTTGATAAAATCTGTCCAATAATGAAATACATTTTAGACTTTCCAACTGAATTTTTGTTGTGCGGTCCAGAATAATATATATTGAAAAGTAACAGTACATTAACCAGCATTCGATAAAAGTTCACTTGGGTTTTTGTCATATTGATATATTTCGAGCTTGCTTTTACAGGTGAAAAATATTCCTGAAACATTTTCGTCTTTGGAGCAATACTTAAGTTCCTATACATATCCACTGCTTGAAGAAACGCGTGCCGGAAACATTTTCGTCTTTGGAGCAATACTTAAGTTCCTATACATATCCACTGCTTGAAGAAACGCGTGCCGACCTATGTTCATCTCTGGAAGTCTTACTTAAGTTCCTATACATATCCACTGCTTGAAGAAACGCGTGCCGACCTATGTTCATCTCTGGAAGTCTTATCACAAGCTCCTTTTATCAGAATACATTCTCTACGAGAAGTTAGATCACTTGAAAAGACATACTTTATTGAGCTTGGAAACAGAGAAAACTCAGTTGGAAAGGAATCATACACTCCAATGGTAGCTGATATATTTGTGTTATCTGAACTGAGACCGAGACGTGCATCTGATCTTACTACAAATGGGAGACCGTATACACTTGCTTTGGTTGTCAAAGGTGGAGGTGGTCAAGGACCAGCAGCGAAAAGGTTCGTTATCAAAACATCGCAGGAAGTTCCAGTTTATAATAGGGAGAAAGAGCCAAGAAAGTCTCTATTTGCAATTTACTTGTCATCCGTGAACTCATACAATCGTATTTGGAAATCGCTGGATTTCGATACGGTACGGAATAAAAATGCTAGTATTATCAAAATGGTCTGGGAGTATAACCCTTTGGTATGTACCAATATCCTATCATCTCATTTTTCATAGTTTATTTTTACTTAAGGTGAACCACAAGAACCTTCATGTTGATTTTTTTTAAAAGAACCCTTCATCTATGATCATTAATAATGTCATTAGTTTTCTAATAGAGCTTGGTTCTTCAGACGTCTGAACAAACATCTACATTCAGAATTCTTGGTTAATGATAAATATGTTAGATTTTTCCTATTATACAAGATATTTATTTATTTATTTATTTTCCGCCTCCCTTTAACTCCCAAAGTTTGTGAATTCTGAAGTGTGGACGTCTATCTAAATGCAAACATCTGCTAAAACATCTGAAGAACAAAAACTTTTTACAAAATTAACGGTTATAAATGAGGGGTTTCTTGGAAGAAAAACAATGTATAGATATAGGGATTTTCTGGTAGTTTACCCATTTACTTATTACGTGGACATATTTATAAACTAAGCAATCTCTTATTGCAACAGGATGCAGATGAATGTTCATCATCATCATCAGGTGCCGCCTTTAGTGAGTTAAATGTAACACTTGGTTTAGACAGGTTCAAGCACAATGATTCACAACAGAATGCTGTGTTGGATTGTCTCTTTGAAAGTGATCAACATGGGGAAAATTCTATTAAACTTATATGGGGCCCTCCTGGAACTGGCAAAACCAAAACAATCAGTTCTCTGTTATGGGCTTTCCTAACAAAGAAATGCAGAACTCTTTCATGTGCACCTACAAATACTGCCGTTAAGGAGGTAGCTTCGAGACTACTAAGATTAGTGAAAGAATATTCATCAAGTAGCAAGAATTGCTCTTTGGGGGATATTGTTTTATTTGGAAACAAGAGCAGAATGAAGATCAATGATGATCTCAGTGAAATATTTCTAGATGATCGTGTTAGCAGACTTTCAAAGTGTTTTTCACGTTTAACTGGCTGGAGCTATTGCCTGATCTCGATGATGAATTTTCTTGAGAATGCTATTTCTCACTATGAAATGTATTTGGAAGAAGTAGACAAGCAAGAGAAGGAGAAGAAAGAAAATGAGAAGAATGAGAAAGAGAAGAAAGAAAAGGAGAAGAAAGAAAAGGAGAAGAAAGATCAGGAATCTATAGTAAGATTGACGCTTAAGGAGTTCATACTAAAGCGGTTCTTTACTCTTGCGCTAGACTTGAGTTTTTGCATGAGAACACTCTCTATGCATCTACCGAGATCTTCTACCTCCGAGAAAAACTTCAGTGACATGAATCTTCTACTCGAGGGTATAGATATCACTGGGACCTTGTTGAGATCAACAGATATTACAGACAAAATGCTTGATGAAGTATTTAAAATGTCGATAGAAGAAGAGGATTGCAACATATATGAGTTGCATCACATAAAACAGGGTACAGCTGCAAAAACTAAGTTAAGGAGAACCAGAAGTATATGCATTCAAATTCTAAGGACCCTTGATAGTAATCTTCATCTCCCCAATATATTTGACAGACAATCGATTCAAAATTTCTGTTTGAGTGGGGCAATCATTATTTTCTGCACATCTTCTAGTTCATTTCGATTACATGATGTGAAGATGAAAAAACCTTTGGAATGTTTGGTGGTTGATGAGGCTGCACAGTTAAAGGAATGTGAGTGTTTAATCCCCTTACAGCTCTCTCGGATTCAACATGCCATTTTCATCGGCGATGAGTACCAACTTCCGGCGATGGTTAAAAGTCAGGTATATAACCACACGTCTGTGATTTTTATTGTTAGTTAGTCATGCTATCGCCCAATTGCAGATCGGCCCTCTACAATTGTATTGTTTCAGATAGACCCCCAGAGTAAATTTTTTACTCTTTCACCTTTAGAGAAGGAAAAAATTGTTATTTTTTGACAAATAGACCTCTTGAGGGTAAAAAAGTCAAAAACAATTCACTCAGGGGGTATATCTGCAATAAAACTATTGGGAGTCTACCCGCAAATGGGCTACATTACAGAAGTTATATCTGCAATTAACCCGATTTTATTTCTGGGGTAAATTTCACAACCCCCCCCCAGAACTCCAGAGTGTTTTGTCAAAATAAAATAAAATAAAAGAACCTTATATTTTATAAATCAAAGAAAAGCCCTGAACTATTGGTCTGTGAAATTTCCCCTTTCTACCTATTACGTAGCCAACCTTGGTTTACACTTCACTTTTCAGGCTTCTCAAAATGCTGCCTTTGGAAGAAGTCTCTTTGAGAGACTGAGCTCACTTGGGCACAAGAAACACCTCCTTGATGTTCAATACAGGATGCATCCTTCTATCAGTAGATTTCCCAGCTCAAATTTCTACAATGATAAAATCTCAGATGGTCCTAACGTTATATGTGATAGCTATCGGCAGTGTTATTTACCTGGACCAATGTATGGTCCCTATTCTTTTATAAACATTGCCATAGGAAAGGAAGAAACTGATACTAATGGGCGTAGTCTCAAGAATATGATCGAGGTTGCTGTAGTCTTGCAAATTCTCAAGAACCTATATAAATGTAGGTATTCCTTTATCCATTTATATTTGTCTTCTTGTATCGCATATTTCAAGCCTATTTCAAAATTGCATAACTAGTTTATTGTTTAGTTGAAGTTGTGTATTACATTTGTCATCGAAGTAAAACATACCCTCTTGTTCTACTCTGTTGTGGTTAATATAGAACATACTTATTTCTTGTATAACCCATATACCAAGCCTATTTCGAAATAGTATGGACACATATCCACTAGATAATATAATCTTCACATTACACAACTGTATGTATATGTTCAATCATGAAATAGTTCAAATAAATGTGTGCATAGAATTAGTTTTAACTTATGACAGACCTGGACTTTTTTCCTGAAACTTTTGAGCACCATATTTCGCAAATATTCACATAAGTTATTCATGGATTATTAACATATAATGATTCATGGTGTTGCAGCAACTTTCACCAGGGGAAAACAACTTAGCATCGGCATCATATCACCATACACAGCTCAAATATGTGCAATTCAAGACAAGCTTAAGAACATGTATTTTCCGTCTAGTGAAATCTCTGTGAAAGTTCAGTCTATTGATGGATTTCAAGGTGGAGAAGAGGATATTATAATTATTTCTACAGTGAGATACAACAAAGGTGGATGCGTAGGCTTCCTTTCTAACCTCCAAAGAACAAATGTGGCTTTGACAAGGGCAAAGTAAGTTAAAGACATCTATGCAATTCCAGGTTTTAAAATTATTAAATTTCCATTAAATTTCACATAACCACCTGTGATTTGCCCCATTGTGAGATAACCCCCTTAAACTTTGTAAATGTCACTTCAACCCCTAACCTTTGGCGCTTGTCGCAAAAACACTCAAACGCTTTCAATTTTTTTTTAAAATGCCCCTAATATTTGGGGTTTGTCACAAAAACACTCAAAATGCTTTCAATTTTTTAACATACTCCCCAGCTGCTTAACCCTAATTTTTTTTAAACATAGCCCGCTTAACTTTCAACATTATTTTTATGATAATCCTTAAACGTTGGGGGGACGGGAGGGAGTAGTGACATTTATAAAGTTTAGAGGGTTATCTCAAAACAGTCCAAATCGTAGGGGGTTTATGTGATGTTTACCCTTCAATTTTATTGTACTTTATTTGTAAACACAATAACATAAATTTCTAATTTTTCCTCTTATCTCCTTTTTCTTTTACTCTCCTTCTTCCATACCTCTGTATGTATTCTGCATCTGTTCTCTAGTTAATGCATCTTGCCCTGGTTACTCAAAGAAAAAAATGAAACTATAATTCTTTTATTTTGGACAGGCATTGCTTGTGGGTTTTAGGCAACGAGACGACCTTGATTAGAAGCGGATCAGTTTGGGGAAAAATAATACGAGACGCAAAGAGTAGGGGTTGTTATTATAATGCCAGAGACGACAAGAGCCTGGATGAGGCCATCATCGAGGCTGCTGTTGATCTTGATGAACTGGAGGATTTGCTGAATATGGGTAAAGCAAGTTGGAAGGTATTTTATTTTTGGTTTACATAGTCATTTTTTGTATATCATAATTGAATGCACTTACAATAATGTCTCTATGCATATATATATCATAGTGCATATATTCACTACCGCCAAATTGGGTTCAAACTCATAGCAAAAATAATCATTGACAAGCGAAGGGAACCTTGCAAGAGTCCCAGAAGTTACGGTTGCATTTTGTAAAATTTGGATTTAGGGGTTAAAGTACACATAGATCCCCTGTAGTACAACTGCTTTGAACTTACTACCCCTGTAGTTTCACTGTTGCAAATATCCCCCTGAGTAAATTCTTTTGGCTTATTTACCCTGAGATATACTCAAGAATTTCAACCCGGGTCAATGTCTGCCCAAATTTCACGAAGGATAGCAAGTCAAAAAGAATTTCACCCAGAGGTTGTACCTGCAACAATGAAACTATAAGGGTAGTAAGTTCTGAGATCTCCATGACTACACTGGCGGAAGGCGACTTATTTGTGTTACGTGAGATTACATTTTGATGTTGCATTTACATGGCATCATACTAACGTTAATTTATTTGTTCATTTTAGAAATCTGAAAGATCATCAAGCTCAAATTCACAGTCTGGTTTCGGCAGAGGAAGGAATAACTACAGAAATGGTTTTCAGAGACGGTGATCCTTTTAGGTTGAAACTGTTGCTTGTCTCAAACAAGGAAATCTGGTTGCTGAAGGAACAATTGAAATGCAGCATTGTAGCCACTGCCGTATGCAAAACATGAAAGATTCAGTCATGCTTAGTTTTTGTGGCTGCTAGTTTTTATGTAGTAAGACTCGTGGGCCATGTTTCCCCACTTTCTAAGATTAGTTGCTTATTTTTAGCTATTTTAGTATTTGTGTAAGCTTATTTAAGGCTTTGATTGATTTGTTTAAGGGTGTGATTGCAGTTAATGAAAAGCAACTTTACTTTCTTCCCAACAATATTGTGAGTTTTTGTATTTAAAACAAATCAAAAGAAAGAGCTTGGGTAAGCTTGGGTATGTGTACCTCTATGATGTACATCCTCTCTGTGTATCCGTGTGCATGTCAGATATATATATTGAAGTTGTTTTTCTTTCTTCTTCAATATATAATTAGTAAATGCTCCTTAATTACTGCATGGGCACATATAAATATATTTTTATTTAGACAAATAATTTAATTGGTACAAACTTCAGATGATAACTGTAAACAACTTGTGCAAAAACTAACTGAATGTTACAAATTCTCAAAACCCCGTAAACTTTGTAGAGTTTCTCAAAATCAGACCCAACTTTCCTAATGTTTCCGAAAATTTTCCCATTTCTTTCTGTCCTCTCTTTTCCCAACAAACTCTAGAACTAAATGTGTCCCAAGTTCACAAAAATTTTTTAGATTCAGGTGGTTTTGTAAAACTCCCCAATGTCTTGGGGGTTTAAGTTTTCTCTAATGTTTGAAGATTAGAGGTTTTGCACAAACCACCCTAAAATTTTAGGGGGTTTATGAAATTTACCTAATGTACTCCAATATCCAAATACAAACATCTATTTTTCATAATACATTAGTATCCAAATACTTGAACATACACATAATAAATTTCTCTCTACCTTCATAGGCCTTATCCCATTGGCGGAATCAAGAGGACAACTTAATCATTTTGAATAACTGATCTAGAAAAAAAAGACAAAAAAAAAAAAAAAATAAACGAACAAAACAAAACAAAATAAAAGGTAAAAAAGACCCAATTTTAGTATCAAAAGTGCTTTTTTCTCACGGATTCTAATGTTACAGTTAGCATTGGAGTAAAAGGGCGAAAAAAGGAGCAAAAAAAAATATTATTGCACACAAGTAGAAGTAAAAGAAAGGAAGTCATATACTTGCAGTCCTAAGCTAGATAAGGTTGTCGAACGATGCTGTTAATAAATGCATTGATAATCAGCTCATAAATTATGATTAGAGTCTAACCACACCGATCGAGGGTATACTCAGTAACTAAAAAAAACTCTCAACAACACAGTAAGTCCTTAGTTAGATGCTAAACAGGTATTTCTCATTTGCATGAGCAACTACAATATCATTGGCAATCATCCTCTGAAGCAAATTATGCGCGATCTCAGCAGAAGGGTCTCTCTCTCTCCAAACCTGAACATGCTAGATGCTGATCAGGTATCTCATTTGCATTACTCTTCTTACTCGCGGAATGCAAGACTCCTCAGTGTGCCTGAATATCGCCAGTGGATTCAAAGTTTCAGCTGCACATTTCATCGAACAGTTACGAGAACAAAAAACATTTCTTACCTAAATAATGTGATCAGCGATGGAAAGTTATTTTGTCCACACTAAACACATACCCACTGCAGTAATCATCCTAGTACTTAATGTTGTTTTAGCAACACCGTAGCAACAATGCGCACCTACGACAAACTCACATATATATAGCTCTCCCCGGAGTTGAGTTTATATCATCCCAGTGTTTCCAATTAGGAGTGAAAAGAAAGAGAGAGGGAGAGAAAGAGAGAACAATAGAGAGAGTTTCTCCTTGAGAAAAGGGATTGTAACTCATAAATTTTTCTCATAGTGGATTCTTCTATCCTTACTCGTGGTTTTTACCCCCAAATTTATTTAGGGGGTTTTCATGTAAATATGTGTGTTCATTTCATTATTTCTGCTCTACTATATATTCGCTGGGACCTTACTCTAGTGGGCCTCGGGTTTGTCTCAACAATCAGGATGAGGATGCAGACAAGGGTTAAGACGATCGATTTCAAGATTAGAAACCCTGAGCGGTGATTCTTGATGATTCTCGGTCGAAGGCGGCGGAGGAGCAGGAGGGGGAAGCATGACCATGGATGATAAAAAATAGTGGAGGGAAAGATGTTGGTTTTTTTTTGCGATATTTGTTACAAATTTAATATTTTGAAATTAGTCTCCGAGAGCATGGAAATTATTATTAGGTCCCTCAACTCTTGAATCTAATAATAATGGAAATTATTATTAGATCCGACTGTGACGCCCCAGGGTTCACACATCTTTCAATTGGCATTATTTTGGTTCAAATTGGATATCATTTGTTATTTAAAAGTTCTAGTTCAAAAGTATATGTGCAGCAGATTTTCAGCAGAACATAACAAGCATGATTATTTGCACAAGAAATCATATGTAAACCTTCAATCATGCACGAAACTTTAAAACGAAGCATAAGACATCTAAATTCAGATAAACAATTTTTAAATTATTTTTAGATCTTAAAATACTTCTGTAAATTCGTGCTTAATCTCTTTAACATAAAAAGACCCAGTCTTTATACATATATACAAAAGATCCAATTTTTATATACAAAATAATTGATTAGGCTCTATAAAACTCATTAAAAACTCTTCAAAAATATTTTAAAAACTGGGAGGGGGATTAGTAGAGATGATACTCGCCTGGGGTTGTAGGAAAACTTGTTAGAAGCAACGTCGAAGGAGATCTCCACTCCAAAAGATAAAAATCAACAAAAACCCAACTTGAAAGCCTCCAATCTTCTCCAAGAATTCAAAATAGGGTTTATGGGGGTTTGGTGGCTGTTAGGGTTCTTAGATATGATAAAAGAAAAGAATTTTCGTGAAAAATACAGGTATTTATAGAGGAAAACCCGAAACAAACATGTTAGACCCGAACCAGGAAACCTAGTCTGACTAGGAAAATACCCCTTCGATATTTTGATTATAACTTTCTCATAAGACCTCGGAATGAGGTGATCTAAGACTTGTTGGAAAGCTGTTGAAGAGACCTACAACTTTGGTCTTTTACACTTTTCCAAATTCTAACTGTATCAGTGTGTAAAACATAAAAACTCATAACTGGTTATTATTCCCAGATTTTCACTCTTTTGGCCTTTGTGCATGTTTTGTGCATTTGCACTCATATTTTCACAAATATATATTGAATTGATCTCAAATCAATTCTTATCATATCCAAACATCAAAATATATTATTTTTCACCATATAACATATTTATCATAAAATATTCAAATTTACGGGGTTTTACATTCTTCCCCCCTTAAAAGAATTTCGTCCCTGAAATTCCACAATCGCATAGTATTAGCACAATGATATTTAAAGTTAACAACCTAGAATGCAAACATTCTCCCCTAAATCCCTAATTAAACGAAATTAGTACGTCGAGCGAAATAATCCAAACAAGGAAACCCTCATATATATATACCATATGTTTCAAATGATTAAGGATCAGGTGACAATATCTCCATTCTAGTGTTAAAGATAAATATCATTGTACTAAACAACATAGATAAAGACTACTATCAAAGCACATAAGCATAAGAATTTATTAACATCATACATGTCCAAACAGGTGCGGGTAGTCGCGACTAACATCCTCCTCGCGCTCCCAAGAAATCTCTTCGGCTCCTTGCCGGTTCCACTGAACTTTTACTAATGGAATGACTTTATTCCTAAGATTTTTATTCTCTCTAGCAAGTAGGCATACCGGTACCTCTATGGTAGTCAAGTCATTCTGAATCTCAATCTCTGGTGAATCAATCACTCTCTGCTGCTCATCATCCCGCAGATGCTTCTTAAGCATCAAAACATGAAAGACGTCGTGTACACTCGACATCGATGCTGGAAGATCTAATCTGTAAGAAACAGCTCCAATGCGCTCGATGATCCTGAAAGGACCAGCATATCTTAGGTCAAGCTTTCCCCGTCTACCGAATCGCTGAACGCCCTTCATCGGTGATACTTTCAACATGACCGAGTCTCCGACCGGGAACTCTAAAGGTCGTCTCCGCTGATCTGCATAGCTCTTCTGTCGACTCTGCGCCGCAAGAATACGCTCTCGAATCAATGCTACCTTCTCTGTGGTCTGTCTAACTAACTCTGGACCAATCAATAGACTATCCTCTGGCTCTGCCCAACATATAGGCGATCTGCAAGGTCTCCCGTACAAAGCTTCATACGGTGCCATCCCGATGGTAGTTTGATAACTATTATTATATGCAAATTCAATCAGTGGGATATGGTCCTCCCAACTACCCTGAAAATCTAAAATACACGCTCTCAGCATGTCCTCTAAGATCTGATTCACCCTCTCGGTCTGACTATCTGTCTGGGGGTGAAAAACACTGCTAAATGACAACTGACTGCCAAAAGCATCCTGAAAACTCCTCCAAAAATGAGATGTGAAGACTGAGCCCCGATCTGATACAATCGTCTCTGGAACTCCATGCAATCTAACAATCTCCCGAATGAAGATCCTCGCATACGTATCTGCCGTATAAGTCGTCCTCACAGGTAAAAAATGTGCGGACTTAGTCAATCTGTCCACTATAACCCAAATAGAATCATTTCCTTTCTTCGTCTTGGGCAACCCCACTATGAAATCCATGGAAATATTTGCCCACTTCCACTTGGGAACAGGTAAAGGCTGTAGGGTTCCTGCAGGTCTCTGATGTTCTGCCTTAACTTGTTGGCAGGTGAAACATTTAGCCACATAATCTGCAATCTCTCTGCGCATACCACTCCACCAAAAATGTCTCTTCAGATCCTTGTACATTTTCGTTGTGCCTGGATGCACTGTATATCTGCTATGATGCGCCTCATCAAAAAGTTCCATTTTCAGCTGTAGATTGTTTGGCATAACGATCCTGCCCTTCTTCCTCAGTCCCCATCTACTCCAATAGTCCAATCATCCTTGGGTTTTTTGGAGATCTCCCCCTTGCGGGTTT